TTTGTTTTGACAAAAACCCACCCCAATTTCGACCCCTCGTGGACTGAGAATTGGCCAACTAACAAATCTCAATGCCCAAATGCCAAGAGATGATCATATCTGGTTGGCTGAAGGCGCTCGCATTATGGAATATGGAATTGGGATTTTTTTTCGTATCCATTATTGGCATTAGGAAGGTTTGTCTTATACATTTAAATGATGTATAATATATTTTGAGAGAAAATGGGTATTTATGGATATTGGATATGGAAAAGGATCCCTAGGCCAGAGGATTGTGTTTGTGCTTGGGGAGGATGCCGTATATAACCGCATTATATTTCGTGCTATTTTCCACCATCACGCACAGGCGAGAGAGATAACTATTGGGGATCCCTCACACCCCCTCAATGAAGAGCTTTTTCCTCCGAAAGAAAAAAAACAACTGAGGAGAACATCTCTCGGCCACGCGAGAATTTACCAAAGACAGAGAGATGTGGAAAAGTGTATTAAGAGAGCATTTCGAAGTTATCTTTTTCCCATGTTTGCCACCCTCATGCCCCCACCCCCCAAAAAAAAACAGCAGTGGGGAAAGGAGTGAGACCGGAAATTTAAGTGGATATCCTTTTCAACGCACGACTCCCATTTGGCTGTGTTCGCCATTAGGAGACCCATTACTCAACTGTCACCGTGGACCAACACCTAACAAGTCTATTTACGGTACTCAAACGCACTCACACGCGTCCACCCGTCATAAGGCATCGGAAGATGTGGAAACTGCTGCTGAGCATCTGCCACCCTTCCAATTGAAATCTCAGCACCTTCCGCACGGTGAAATATATGCGATATTGCGTCACTGGGCTTTGCAAAACAACCCTGCGCCGCTTGAGGAGAGCGAGAGTGGAAAAAAGTCCTGGAAAAGCGGCCGTTTCGGCAAGCTGACGTCAATGGGACAACGAATATCAAATCAAAATGCCTCAGTCGCTATTTGTCTCTGGCCTTCACTCTTGCTGGCTGTGCCGGAGGACCAAATGGTGCCACCCTATTGGTCTGACCCCGTCAACCCCCTGCGCGCCATGTGGATGAGAGTGACCAAAAGGGAAAAAGTGGATTTCGAGCATTTACACTCTGGATAATGATGACGTTAAATGGGAGAGTGCACCATCTGCTGACGGGTTTATATTGTTATTTATGAGGCACACAAGTTGGAAAATTGCATGTGAAAATGGCCAAGTCTTTCATACCTATGTACACAGTGGAGATGCTCAAAAGCATGATTTTGATTTTGCATTTGAGAACTTTCAAGCCTTTTGCAGAGTGTAAAACTTTTCGTTGATTTCGCATTCCTCCATTTTCCCTCGAAATTGTCACAGAGAGAATGTCATTAAGCCCGCGCGTATATATACCTGGGCAAGAATGGCGCACGAGATGCGGTGGAAGATCTTCACGGCAGAGTTTCTTATTTCATCGAGGGTGCCGTCGTTCTCCAGTTTCTCAATTTGCATTCTGAAATCCAAAATCATTACTTTGATAAATGAGTGTTCGTCTTATCTTGGCTACACTGAGACTCCGGCAAAACTTCCTTGTCGCCTTTCACCCCAACTCACGGCGCACAATTCATCTCCAGCGGAGTCAACCCCTCTTGTAAATTATCTTATACCAGGCTCTTTGCCACTCTCTCTTCTGGCACACTGGAATTTTTCTCATTTGCCTCCGTCAGCGACGTGGTGTGTCTGCGTAATTACTGTATAGTTAATGCATCAGATGACAAAAGATGAGATAACACACCCTCCGCGACGACTGCCAGAATTCATCAATTCCAACAGCCAAACCGAATGCATTCGGTTGTGATTGCGAGGAGTTAAAGTATTTCACTTTAATAGACTTTATTGCAAACAGCATCCGAGCAAGGGGTCACAGAGAGCAGGGTTGAATTGGGGGCTGATGATATCAATACGGGGAGAACAGGTAGAATCGCCAAAATGGCGTAATTGGGGATGATCTATGAGAGCCTCCTGGAATGCTGTCCCGAAGAAACTCCGGGTGATTTCCCATGGGAGGCCAGAAGACGAAGAAGGAAAAAAACAGCCAAAATAGACATGTCGAGTTCGGTGCTGAATTGAGAATTGAACTCTGGTGAATTTTCCACCCTCGACACTCTGGCATCGCCAGCAGTCACTCATGCATAAGTTGTCACAATGTGATTAATGGGTGTCGAACAAATTGTCTAGAAAAACAGAAGGGTCACAGACTCACTGCAGCATCGCCCGGAGAGAGATTCTGGGTGAAAATTCATACAATTGGATTTAACTCCCATCTCGCAAGCACAGCAAGGGTGGAATCTCTGTGGGTTGGGAGTCACAGAGAGACGGACAAACACAACAATGAGAACATGAGATTAGCTGAGAATTAAATACTTTGCATATTGTGCACCAAAGCCATATAGTCGAGTAGAGAAAAAAAAAAGTATTAGGATTTTCTGCGCAGTATTTTCAGGGGGTTGAGGGATGGTTTTTTTCCACTGCCTCACTGTCTCACTGTCCTTCCATTTCCAAATGAGAAATTCTTCAGCCTCAGTTTTCATGGCTATTTCAATTATTCAACTACAAAAGTGAACACAATGCGATTTTCCTTCCTATTAATCTAATTTCGCCTGTCGACGTCTCTCTCTCTCTCTCTCTCTCTCGCGCGCTCCACCCAAGACGTCTTGGCCGACAGAGACATCATGGTGGAAATTTAATACGAAAATGATATTAAATTCAACCCCCTGCGAGACCATCCCCCGCCCCAGATCGATTTTAATCCATTTCGCATTGACGGTGACTTGCAATTTTGTCTCAGCATATAACTTAGTCGACTTTATGAATAAAACACCGTCTGGTAATGGTCGTTCAGGGAAATGGCCATAATGTCTTGACTCACGAACCATCTCCTCAGCCCTCAGGCGGGCATCTTCCCTGGCCATCGGCGAAGAAAGTGCCCGTGCACTCAGAGAAATCAATGCAGTAAAATGGAATATCAAATAAGGCTGCCCGTTTTTTTTTTCACTATACACTCGTCAACAAAAGAGATGAACTTTTCACGCGGGGTGGGAAGCGCGAGGGGAGTGTCTCTGCACACCAAAAAAAAAAAAAATCCATGACAAAAGGATGAGGAAAAGTGCACTCTTATCGATGCATTTTTTATCACATCCACCCACAGTTTCCTCCTCACTTTTTGCCCACCAATTCCAACCCCATTGACATTCCCACAAACTCCCCGTGAACGACATTCCGTGGAATGTATTTCAGCAATTGAATGAAAATTGGTGTGTGTTATGAATTATTCAATTTCCACGTGTACTTTTCCTCTTTTCCTGGGATTCTCATGGGGTGGCATTTCACGTTTTTTTTCTCCCCGCCACATTTCGCGATTGTTTGAATTGTGAAATTTGCACGAACAAAATTGGGTTAACATGGAATGACGTTGAAATTATGTGTATATATATGTAATTTTATTTTAAAAAAAGAATCTGAGAAAGAGAAATACTAGCGGTTTTCGCGCATTTGAGCACGTAGAGTGGTAATGAGGAGTAATTTCCGAAGGCATACACAGCAGTATTCCTTATTAATCCAACAAGTGGGTTCAGACCGGATAGTTCGAGTACAGCACCAGTGTCAATGGAGTGGCGATAAATAAACCATTGAACTCATTTTCGCTGAAAATACAAACAACATCGTAAAATGTGTCTTTATGGGGATTTTATTGTATTGTGTTGAGTACAAAATTGCAATTTTGCTCTTTTCGTGGAGGCACACCACAATGAAATAGAGAATTTTGTGTATTTTCTATGACCATAATTCTGTCACCATAATCTCTTGCATTTCTTCCCCCTCCACCATGGCATTTTATTTATTGATCAATAATCGTCTTTCCTCCTTCGTGCTGAGAAAATTCACTAATTGGAGGAACACACGATAATTTTCATGCGGAGTGTTTCACTCCTTGAAAACACGTCACATCTTCAAGATTCAAGAAGTTTTTGTCACATTTTCTCTAATTTGTGCTGCAAGAGAGTGTTTTCTAGGTCAAAAGTAAACTAAACTACACATGGTAGAAAAGTCCATTATTGCTCATCGAATGTGTTGGAAAAATCCGGTACAATTCAAACTATACACAACGACGAATTAATTCCAACTGTTCGCATGGCCGAGAAAAGCCTTCAATATGCTGATAAAAAAAAGCCAAAAGAGCTGTAACCATGACCTAACCCACAATATTTGTACTCAATTATAAAAATATTTGTGTCCCCATAAAAATCCCCATGGAATACATGGCAATTGTGTCGTCTTTTTGTCGCTTCCAACTCGCTGTGTTGCATGAAAATGGCTTTTATCATTCCACCGATGAAACCTATAATAATAGTAATAATAATAATCATAATCTGCTAGCATCAAGTTGACTCGTAAAAGAAACGGATTTTTGCATTTTACGACTGAACAAACTTGCAATAAAATTCACATAAAAGCAATATTACACGTCGCACATCACGTCATCTTCATCAGTTGACTTGTGGCTCGGTTCACTCTGCCAGCAAACCCACAAGAAGACATTGAGCTTTTCCACCAAGCTTGTGGGATTTCCTAATAGAAATCTCCTGCGCGAGACATCCTCAATCCATGCATAAAAGCCACGACAGGGACTCCCTTCTCTCTTTTTTCAATACACCACCACCATTCGTGGGGAGGGGAGAGGAATATAAAAATTTTATTTACCAGACAAGAAGTTATAAAACGACGGATTGAATGCTTTCAATGGAACCTCGAGTGTAGTGAGAAAAGATGTCTTTTTCCAACCATTCTTTTCCCTCTCTCTCATCCCCTCAAGTAATAACATTGTGGGTTATTTTGTAGTCGTTCACTCTGAATTCTATCATTCGGAAAGTCATTTTACAAAGCTTTTCAGCATTATGTTCGAGATCAAGAATCATATGCTCTTGTTTTTCCCTCACATGAACTCTCTAACATTATCTCTATCCTTTGCAGGTTTATCAATGCGAGACGTAGAATCGTTCAACCAATGATTGACCAATCGAATAGAGCCGGTAAGTAAACTTTCAATAGATATCCTTAAGCGTAGAAACCTGTTAGAATCTCCCAAAAAGTCCATAGAATTGTCGCAAAATCTCACGCACATCGAGGCTGAATCGCGGTTGAATCGCTTTGGGAGACAAAAGACGCTGAGGAGGTGAAATGATAATAATTCCATTATGAAATTAAATTTAACGACTAAGAGCTTCATCTGTCGCGCATCCCCCGCTGCCAATTTGACCCCGAAGTGTTATGCAAAGTGTGGAGAATTGCTGTAGGTCATGGATCAAATGGTGAGCTTTCGCCATAAGATGTTGAAACTTGCAGACATCATTGCCATTAAATTTGTTGTTGTTTATACAGAGGGTTGTGCCACACATTTCGCCCATTTTCTCTCCACCGAATGATCTTTTTACGACCATTTTACGTTCATCTTTTGTGTTCTGTAAATAAGCACACTCACTGCGTCTCAAGAGGGGTTGCGCTCAGGAACTCCTGTGAGAAACTTCCTGCCAATGAATCTCCGGCCACTCTTAGGGACTCTTCCTTCAGTGTTTTCTTTTTTGGGTCAAATTCACCTCAAGAGTGCGTGGTCGAATTGTTTGGGGGCCGAAAACCCCCTTGGAAAATTGTATAAAACACTCTGAGAAAAGCCTGTAGCGTCAATTTAGCAGGTGGATACGCGTGGAAACTCCCCCGAGAAAATCCCCCTCTTGGCCGTGTGGTGTAATGAAGAAAATCCCATGGATATGATAAAATGGTCCATTGAGAGACAGTGAGATTCAGGTGAAAAATAAATTAGCAATTTAAATTCTAAGCGCAGGTGCGTTACGCGTTATTAATGAAATTTAATTAGAATGCCGGCGAAGGTGAAAAGAAAGTTTCATGGCGCGTGTAGGGATAATGCTTTCTCTCTTGAGGTGAAAACTGGGTAGGAAGAGGCTGAGGAAAACCCTTTTTGCGCCATGGCCACAAATATCATACTTGCGCTCTCACGGGTGAATGAAATTAAATTACAAGAAGAAGGTGAAACTTTTTAAGTCACCCTCTCGCTCTCTGACCCATCTCTAGCAATTTCATGGGACGTTTTCGGCCATTGTGTGTGTATTCTTGCAGCAAAAGGAGGCAATGGATGGCAGCTCCAATCCCACCTCTTCATGATCGTGTGAAAAATTAATAATACAAATGGTCGTGGAGGGAAAATAAGCAGACAATATAAATTCAAGATGCGAAGTCACAAAACTTTGTAATCTTCCTTTTCAATTTTCCCACCGATGAGAGAAATGCCAGTTTCTAAGGGTGGAAAATTCACTCAGGATATTGAATTGTAAGACACGGACCAGAGGGTGAATCTCCTGATATTATTTCCTCAAGTTTTGTCGACTTTAGCCGGAATGCATATATAGGGTGGATATTTTTCCGAAAATTCCACAAGTCAACAAACACGGCGAATAAATTTTCCAATTGAACACACATGTCCAACGAGAGTTTGATCAATCAACCTATGGCAATTTGCTAATTTTGCAATGCCGATGTTGCAATTAATTCTCCACATCAATCGTATCAATGGAAAATAATGTCCATCATGAGGCAGAATATGGGGTTGAAACTTATCTCCCTGACTTCGCTTGCTGATGAAATGCCGACGAGATAGAGTGCAAAACCATGTCTCTCTGAGTCACTCTAGGGGACGATGTTGGAAATCGAAAATCCAAAAATATCTCCACAGCCACACAATGTCAATATTCGCCTGAAAGATTCATCCCAACTCTCGGGCTCACGAAAATTATAATGCCTCATCCGTTTCAGCCCAATTTAATTTCACCACCTATGCAGAGACAGGAGTTTGCCCGGGTGCGATCCGTGACAGTCCCCAAGACATAAATCTTTCAACGGGGGTTTTATTTTCCTTCCACGCTTGCCTTTCGATACAACACAATTTTCCACCGAGAAAATCCCTCGCTCCATCCGCTCAACACTTTTCCCATCCAGATATCCACCAAACACACACCCTCGGCGAGGAGCCGGGTAACTCATGTGTATGGATTCCGCCCCCGAGAAGGCAGCAATACTCCCTATCAGCAGCCCAAAATCTCCCGGTTGTCCTATTTAATACGCTCCTCTCCGAAAGCGTTAGGAACTCTTTTCTCCCGTCACCATTGTATCCTTATTCCGGCATCTGGGCGCTCGCTGAGGCAGAAAGGGGCGACCCTCCGCCACCCCAGATACACTCCTGGGCGGCGGAAGAATTGGTGGTTGCGACAGGTTGAGAAATGGCGGTCCATTGACCCTCGGGGTGCCATCCATCACGCCACCACCGTCAATGCAGAAACGCAAAAGGGGTCCATCGGCCTTGAAAACTTTTATAGTTTAGCGCCTCATCGCTATGCATCGATGACTTGCTGATGAGGGCCGCCTCAACCCCCTCAGCTCCTGAGCAAGAACTTTAATTTATGACAGGAAACTCCCTCAATTCAGCCGAAAAACACTACTGAGAATGACTCTTTTCACTTAATATTCGAATACTTAGTTTTACGGCTTGAATATCGCCACAAGTTTGCCAAACATTTCAGATGAGGAAGACAACAATCAAGATGTCTCGAGGATAATTTCTCTGTCCTTATTGATGTCTTCCTCGAGAGAGCGTGAGCTCCCTTCCTGGACTTGATATATGGCTCAGCGAGATTATGCAAAATGTGTGTATTATTGGTGAAAGGGCGACACAGTGTGTGTGTGTGTCTTTATCTGACGAAATGGGGAAAAGAGGGAGCGGAGCAAGAAATCCTCGACAATCCTCGAGCACAACGTAAAATTTGGAGATTGATTTAGGAGCCCTCCAATGTGTATCTATTAGGGCTTCCGGATCCCTTCGAAAATTCCAATCGCTGCAAAGGCAGGCGAGGACACTCTCTTCGGGTTCTTGTCGTCATCAGTGACGATAATCCGGCAGTAAATCAATGTGGTGTCACAAAACATAAACCAAACACTGATGTATTCCACTCATTGCAACAGATAGAGAAAGGGAGAAAAGGCTTCAAATCGCCAAAATGGGGATAAATGTCTCCAGCGTATCCAATATTCTTTTCCACCCCCCGGAAAAACCACATGCGCGCGAAGCTTCTGTGGGACATGTGGAATTCCGCACTCATCCAATGAGTTTTGGGGTGGGTTTTGGCAACCCCAACAACATTCCCTCGGTGACAAATGAAATGGAATTTATATGAGTTTAATGATTCTCAAGTCTGTGAATCCATTTTAATTATAATCTCATTGGACTTTTTCTACCCCTCGAAGCTCTCTGCGGATGAACTAAGGGATGAGCTTTGTGTGTCGGTGGGTGTGAAAAGAATTTATGCCCTTTAATTATGCAACAGCGAATGGGGCGGAATTAAGCGACAACATTTCGAAAAGCAATTTTAGAAGGCAGGTAATTTCAACAAATCTCCCACACTCAGCCGTCTTCACACACACCCCCTGGGGAGGGTGGGGAGCTCGGGAGCTGCAACAGCACCTGTGTGAGGTGTCATAGATTTCCCGTGGATGCGGAGGAGTTGTGTCGCCGTTGAGGAGTCATTTCGCTGAGGCCGGAATTAACGATTTGGCATCCGGGAAATGGCACCCCTAACGAGCCCTCTAGGTGCTGTAGAGCAATCAACAACACCGAGGAGGACACCGCACGGAACCCACCCCTTGATAAATGATTTGGGGATTCTTAATTACTCCCCGAACTGTCGTTGCCCAGTTGTGTGCGCGCGGAGAAGAAACTACAACCCCCGAAGTCTATCTTCAGCATCATGGGAATTGTTTCGGAAGCGAATATTTTCCTTCTTCTTTAGGCGCTCTCTGAACTCTGCAGAGACCCAGAGAGATTCCTTGGGTTGGAGATTGTGTGCCGAATGAAAAATCGAATCCTCCACCAGAGATGAGAACGGGAGATTTTTCTCCTTTTTACGGTCTGAATAATACATAAATCCCATTGATTGGCTCGCACCGGTACAGGGCTTAGGCGATGGGATGGATATGTGGAAATGATTGCGTTAACGGCCATTAAGAGATGCCAATAATGGATGCTCTGCGAGGGAGAAGAAATTAAAATGGCGACTTGTTTGCACTGGGATGATGAAGAAATTAGGATTTATGCCCACTTCCTGGCCGCTTCCGAATGCACCCGAAGGGACGCACAAGGGATGAGAGAGAGGATAGACAGTGAATTTGGTTAATGGGATGTGTTTAATTGGATTTTTTCGCAGCTTCCTTCTCACACCAAACCAAGTGTGTTCCACAGACAAAGAACAACCTTTCACTCGTAGTCATTCATGCAAAAAACCTCGTTTCTTATGCATAAATCCTCAGTTCCTGAGACACACACGCCTTGAGTCGCTAATTCTGCGGTCTCTTCAAAAGAATATACCGTCTATTGGCGCATAAATATATCATATGCACGTGGAAATGCTTCGCAAGCATTCGATACGCCGAATAAAAATTCAATTAGAAAAGCTGTTTAAGTGACGTTACGATGCTATAAATCACGGAGTATGTTTCAAAAGTCGCTACTGAATTTGCAATCTGCTACCTTTGACGCCGAAGAGATTCATTTTGATGAGATTATGGGACTAATTCAAGCTTTTGGGCTGTTCTTCTTTGTTTTGCAAGATCTACCACTCAATCTTCCATATGATTGCCTAAGAAATCTTCTCAAATCTGCATCTCTCCGTGAATGGCATGTAATCTCTCCGTGATACATGTTGAGAGTGAAGAATTTATTTCCCTCATTTCGGGCATCAGCAACCCCTCCCTGTGTTGTCGTGTCTCTGAAGACGGCGCTTCGCCTCTTTGTCAAGCCTTCGCGCGCGCGATCAGATTCAATTGAAGTGTCTATCGCGCAATTCTCGCTACAATTCTCACATGGGTTGAGAGACGCCTTTTTGCATGCGGCGAACATGGGCTCCCCGAAAGGGAAACAAATCAAATTGATGGATATTCAAATGGGGTACTTTCGGAAGCGATTATCATGCCACACATACGATAGGAGAGAGAGTGAAGACGTGAAATCTCCGAGGCGAAACCCCTCCTCGTCCCGCACTCAAATACATAATTCCATTCATCGGAAATGCGGAAATGCGATCCGGAACATCTCATCAGATCCTCGCACACTCTCCAGATTCATTCGCCCCAGAACGGATGCCATTCTCGCAAGTTCTCGCAATGCTGTAGTGGAGAAAGAGAGTGTCTTGGGCACGAAAGGGATGGTTTTCTTGTACACTTTTCTTCGCTCCCACGATGCATACGTATATTTGGGAATTTATATCCATGAGTGGGAAATTTATGTGCTCCATCTCTGCATGTTTCACCATTGTAATGGGGAAACGATAAACTTTTTTCGGCACCCCCGCCCTTGGTGCGCCAAAAAAATTGAATATGTTCGCATTCGCGCGAGACCCATGAGGTATTGGGAAAAAATCTCATTACATATCTCATGGTAGAATAAATATTTGGTGCTGTGTGTAAAGTTTTGCAATAATAAATAAATTAGGGTAGGATATTTTCTCATGGCTAAATATTGCCTTTCTGCATATCACAGGGGGGTGGCGATATGTGGGGGGGTGGTTTCTGCCATGGATGGGCAGAGAGTCGCATTTTTCACAATTTTTCATTCATATTGGATGGGTGGTGGGCCGGTCTATCTGGGAGGAATCACATAATTTGGGATTGGCGTTGGAGAAATGGGCGAAATTACACATGGTGGTGCGGAGAAAACCCCAAAAATCCTCCCTTCGAGCCATATCTAGAGAGCTGAAGCCTGAATTCCATTTCCTTCCAACCCACACATGTTCCTCTGGGTTTGGTCGCCGCACAAACTGGAGGGCTCGGAGAGTTTTGGCATTGAGGGTGGGTTTTTGGGGAAATGAAAACCCGTCGTTCATATCCCCCGGTTTTCTTTTTCCCTCCCCCGCACATCATCTGCCCTCTCGGGTGTGTGTTTCGCTCTCTGCCATGGGAAACACATGCACAGCATACACATATTGCCATTATAACCCACCCTCTCTCTCGGTCTCTCTGAATTCGGAAAAGGTGGCGCGCACATGAGAGAAAGGCACCCCCGATGTGGAGGCGGGCGGGGGTGAATGGAGCTTTTCTCTCCCGTATATACATTTGATATATCGCATGTAATATTGAAACGAAAACGGGTAACTCTCGGGATGAAATGTTTAATTTAAACGGCATACACCGCTTCCATATGTATCGCACACACACCCACCCTCCGCCCACACCCCTCACAGCCCAGGGAGCACAGCACAACAGGAAGAGAAAAAAGGCAGCGCCACCCACGGATGCCTCGTGTTTGCACGGGATGGCTGAGGGTAGTTTATGAACGTGAGGAGCGATGGTGGAGCGAACGAATCGTAATATGGCTTTTAATGTGCAAAATGGTTGAGACGACTTGAAATGGTGCGCAAGAGCACCGAGAGGTATTTGGCTAATTTCTTGATGAACACATTTTCCACCATGGTACTGTTTTAATTATTTCGCGTTTCACCATTTAATATGACTTGCACTCCAACTCAAATGTCTCACCCACACTCCGCGCGCGCGGCTGGCAAATGTGCTTCTCCATGGTGGAAATTTCGCCAGCCAGTGGATGAAAACCGCAAGTTAAAGTGCCATCGCAGAGTTGAAATGATATCGAGATGGGAGATTTGTCTGGGATTCTAAAGTACTTCTGAGCAGCTAAACTTGCAGCATTTTCTAGTGCGTTCAACTCTGATTTGCGCGAGATGAGAGCGACAATTCAGCCCCAGTGAATCTCCCACCCCAAAGAGCCCTCATTACCATTAGTTATAATTCCCTAATTGATATTGCGACTCTATCCTGTGTGCGCCTCCGAATGTGTCTGGTTCGGTGAGACAGTGTCTTCCATCCCAGTCGAGAGTCACATTCGCACAGACTCGCGACGCGCAGTCTGTGGGGGTCCCGCGACGGCGGGATTTCGCCAAAGGGCGCGAAAGAACATGACATGACCTCCCTAATTAGTCTTCCCGCCTCATGCAGGACCATCGGCGGCGTACGGGCCCGAGGCGATGGGCTGGATGGACGGCCAGGCGCAGATGATGCACCGTCCGCCCGGCGATCCGGCCTTCCACCAAGGCTACGCGCACTACCCACCCGCCGAGTACTATGGCCATCACTTGTAATGCGCACCACACGGAGAGCCAGGTGAGCCCGCACGCAGAGTCTGACCGGCCGACCGCAAGGGTCCCACCTCGGCACGTCCTCTGGCAGTGCGTCATCCAGTAGTCAACTTGTCAGCAATCCCAGTGAGATGACCTTATGTGGCTGAGCAGCCAGCGTTACCACCAAACCTTGAAGCCAGGAATTCGTGGAAGGATCCAAAATCGGTGCAATCAATTTAATAATGTCGTTCACTCGGCGCAGACCATCAAAATTCTTCTGCGACACCACCCAGGATTACCATATTTCGGGACGTCTGCGTTGAGGCTAAACCCAAGTAAAAGCAACAAGAGAAAAAGCTAAAAAAAACCCCTTTTAAAAGCTATAACAACGACCTTCACATTTTAACTGGAGCGGAAAGGAGAGCGGGAGTCTAAAATCCAATCTCCTAAAAGTCGATCTAAAAACAAGCGTATAACTAAAAGAAAAAAAATGGGTAAAAATGTGATTTATTTGTACAAAATGTAAAGTGTTAAGAGTGTCGTGTCATGTACAAATCATATAGTGAAAAAGATGGTGGAGAGGCAGTGATAGCAACTGTGTTCCAACCGATAAAAGAAGAAAAACACTGCGGCATTGACGCTTTGAGCTAAATGAACTCACGAGAGAGAGAGAGAGAGAGCAAGTTGAGAGAGGAGAAACATGGAAAAACTACAGTGATTAATTTTTTAAGTATAGAGAGAGAAAAAAAGAGATGAAATATAAATGATAGTAAAAAAAAAGAAAAAATACCTAGCAAAATTACTATAAATAAAGAAAAACGATCACATGCAGCAACTGATACTATGAGCGAGAGTGGAGTAAATAAAGGATGATCTAGAATATAGTGAAGAGCATTATAGGATATTAATATTAAAAAAAATCGTATAAATATCAGTGGAGTGTTTTTCTAAAAATCAGTAAAAAAGAGAAAACAAATGAAAAATTAGCATTAATATATTGAAAAAGAGGGAGAGAGAGAAAAATAAATGGAAAATGCAGTAACTGTAAAAAAGCGAAGTAAATTATGGAAAGAGAAAATGGGATAAAAATTTGCAAAAATAGTGAATCTTAAATGCTGGTCATTGAGTGTGAGAATAACTTTGACGATTTGGAAACCGTAGATCAACGCCCCCTATCAGCAGACTTTAGTGAATTTCTCCTAAGAAAAAAAAAACCACCAAAAAGCAGAAGGATTTCCACTGATATTGGAAAAGGATTAGCCAAGATAACCAGAGGAAGAACACATTAAAGAGGAACAGTGAGGGAATCTACGCAGAGAGAACGATGTTAACTGCTTAAGAGATACGCAGTGGCAATACCGACTGACCGGATATGTCATTACTTATAAATAGGAAACTTCAAGATGAGAGAAGTAATATAAATATTAGTTGGTAAGTTAACTAGAAATATTGAAGGAAAAGTAATAAGGAAAATATTAAATAAAAAAGTGAGGAGAAAAACAACTGTAATTATAAACTATCTTGCAAATAACGTAAACTATTATTATTGTGTATATTATTATTAATTATTATTATTATTACAATTAATTATTGAATAAAAATCAATTCGTTTTCCGTACTATCCGAACAAAAAATTCATAAATAATCTTTAAAAAAAAAAAGAAAACCAACTCAAAGAGAGAAAAAAATGATAAACTTCTGTACAAAATCTCACAAAACACACACACACATGTTTATTTTCAAGAAAAAGATGATGAAAAAAACGAGCCACTGAAGCAGAATTTCTAGAATAATAAATACCTGAAGAAAAAATATATCAAATTTAAAGTGTTGAGTAATTGAAGAAGAAAAAAAACCATAAAGAAGTTCTAGAAAAGATGGAAACAGAATCATTCTCCAATCAGTAAAAATTATATTAAAAAAAAAAGAATAAACATGAAGAAATAGAATTTATAGTATAACCGATTGATCTTTGGCTCCGTTTGTGTAATAAAGTGAATTGTATCAGCATTAACGAGAATTCGATCATGAGAGAGATTGAAAAATCATTTCTAGTTGAGAGCAAATTCAGAAACCTTGGCATAAAATTTAGTACTAGAACTTGTTGTCTAATATTCCCCGAAGGACATGAGATCTGCTGCCGATGGAAAAGAAGGACATGAAAGGGATCAAGAGTCAAAGTGAATGTCAAACACAGAACACGCGGTGCAGAAGAGAATCATAGACTTCAGGCAAAAAGTAAACTCTAACACAGGTCGAAAAATTTTCTTTAACCTTTTTTTCCTATGTATATTTTTTCTCTATATAGTTTTGAGAAATGAAAGAAACAAAATATTGGTTGTTTTTATTTATTTTTCAATATATTTATTTCTCATTTTCTTCAATGTGAAGGTTTTTTCGTGAAAAAAAAAATTATATCAAGATATACGAAAAATTCTTTTTGTCAAATTTGCTAAAAAATTAACTGGGGAGGTAAAAGAAGAGTAAGAAAAAAAATGTATTCAACTCGATATACGTAATTTTGAAGGACGATTAAAAGTTTTTAAAAAATGAAAGAAAAAATTAGAGCTTTTTGCTACATTATAATGAAAAAAAGTAAAGGATACATTAAATAAATTACAATGGATTTCTATTTAAAGAAGATGGAATAATATATAAATATATTTTTGCTTTATACATATTGAATTTTTTATTGAAAAAAAAAGTACTGTAAACACGCAGCATGGAAGTGGAAGGAAGGGCTAGCAATTGACCAAAACGATGGGAAACTTCCACAGAGTTTTCTTATAAGTTTTCATTTTCGTAGACAAGAAGAGAGAGTGAAGATAATCCCGAGAGAAATCGAGTTCTACAGGGTGTTTGTAGTACGAAACTTACTGTAAAAAAGAAGAAAAAGAAGAGATATATAGGGACGGAGAGATAGATGGAATCACACAGTAAAGAAAGAATGAGAACAATGTAAGAAACTCAAGAAAATGATAATAAGCAGCCTCTTATCGACACGCCTAATCATCCAACTCAGTATACGATTAAAATATACTCACTTTTGCACCTGAAAGTGAAACCAATAATTGTGAAGTAAAACTTTTGGGATAATTTTGTATCCTTATTGCAGATTCTAATAGTTACTCTTGTATGGATTTATCAGCTGGCAGCGCAGCTTGAAATTGTTAAATACGAAAAAAAGAAGAAGAAAAATGCTAAAGTTCCCAAAATACGAACTCACAAATCGATCGTCCTTTCAGTGAATTTTTCTCTTTCTTGTTTTTATCCTTTGAGTTCCACTTCCACATAATGTTAAATCGGGAAGAGTGAAAAATGAAGAAATTTAAAAAGAAAATATCCTTAAATTTGATAACGTTTTGGCTGTCGTCAAAATGGTTTATCCATTATTCGCCTTAACCATGTATACGAACGATGAAGAAACTTGAGGAAAATAATTGAATAAATTAAGACAGGACCTTATTTAAAAAAGTAAAGTAAATATTTTAATGAGGAATAAATATACAAAAGTAAATTAATTAATGAAGAAAGAAAAAAATTATCGTTGAATGAAAATATAAATATTTCAATTCTGTTTTCTCGCAAGATAAAAAATCAGACGAAAAAACAAAGAAAAACATCTCAAAATATTTATTTGCCTCTTTTTATTACGAAAAAAAATGCAAAAATCCGAAACGTTTTGTTTAAATGTGCTCAATTCCAAAATCATTGAATATAAATATCCCCATTTTGATGAGAATAAAATAAAAAAAAAATCACGAGATTTCTTACAAAAGCAAATAAATAGGAAAGAAATGTGAAAATGGGAAAAATTGCAGACATATTTTGAGAAAAAATACTGTGTAGGAGAAAGAAAAAAAACATCATACATAATTATTGTATAATAAATACCTCTCTGTACATTTGCATTATTACACTTACACAACATTATTTCTGTATAGTCTTTTTTCTTTTTATTTGGAAAACCAGAAGCATTAAATGCGCATCTTGTGTAAAAAAAATTAAAATAACTCTTTGTGTTTTACTTGAAATTCATCGTTGTCCTTAAACTTGACTTCGCTTCGCTCGCATTTCGCGGTTTGTGTGTGAAAAGTGAAATACAATTTATGATATTCAACAGTAAGTATTCAATAAGATGATATTTTGCTATACAAAGTGCCCAAAAGTGGCAAAAATATGTGCGTAAACAGAGATGCGTTCGATATTTCAAGCCTTTCTTTAAACTCCGGGCAAAATTGCAGCACTTGAAAAGTGAATTTATTGCTGAAAAAGCCTCAGTATGTTTGTGTGTGTCTCTGAATATTTTTCCTCAAAAGTGTAGTCTTGAAATTTCCTTTTTACTCCTCCGGAAAATTCTTGCCTTTGTCCGCAAGTAGTTTGAGAAGACACGAATGAATAAACCGAAGCTCCACTACTTCATTTTTTATTCCAGGAAAATACAGCATTGAGTGCTTCTGAGCACACTCGAGGATCCGCCTAGTCGTTAGTCTCCTCAGCCGTGTGGACAAGGAGTCTGTGTAGTGGAAGAAAAGCGGAATATTTTGTGCATTTCCACACTAAATGTCTCGTGAAAGCAACACCGATGAAGGAGAATCCTCCGATGGATTTCACGCATCGAGAGATAGGGGTTTTGCCACCCTCGAGATCATTGGAATAAACTTATGTATGCAGAGAGACAATCATTTGTCATCCCTCCAACCACCACCACTCTACATATATAGCATTTTTCTCTTCCACCAGCTTTGCTCATGAGCAAAACCCATTCCGTCGATTGAAAGTTTCTCTCCATCCTCCGCACATATTTCAGCCATGAGAACCATCACAGAATCTTCTTAATTGCTCGCAAATTCCAACGAAGAAATTCCCTCATCTCATAGAAAAATTGGTTATAGTATTTAATTATCAAGAACAGCAATTTCCATCAAAAAGTCCGCCATGGAAGTTTTCTTATAGGAGAGAAAACACCGGGAATGATTAATTTTCCACGCGCCCCCGAGAGTGGCTCTCATCCCCCCCAGCCACGGTGGAGGAAATCCACTTAATTTAATCAAAATATCCTCATTCATGAGATGCTGCGCCAGTGTCTCTCTCTCTCTTGGGCGTAGCGCCCAACTTTTCTTAGACATGCCTTCGTAATTCGCTAAATTTTTAATAACATTCCAAAATTGCTTCATCAATCTATCCCAGGGCGTTCTCGTTTTGTGTATCTGCGGAGGGACAAATGAAAGAAATACCTCTGTTTGTGAAAATGTCACTTTAATTGGAAGACTTTCGGGCGGGGAAGAAAGGGACAAAACAGCGCGATACAAGGAAAACTGTGTGCTATTTGCTGACGAAAAGTTAATGGGAAAAAATACAACACGACAACATAGCGCGACAATTGTATAGCATGCGAAGCGCAATCTGAAATGTTTTCTTCAAAGTCCAAGGAAAGATGGTAAGAAAATAAAAATATCCAGCAACTTACAGAACGTACTCATTTCTCATGACGTCTTTCGCTTAAGAATTCCCACCACGGAAACATCTTCGCGCAGGTAAAGCGCGCGCGATATAAATTTGATGACTCTCTGTGTGTGTGCCATCGAAAATCGCTCATGTTGCCCATTAAATCTGCATTGAGTGGCGGGAAATGACTGCGGGTGACCTCCTGTAAATGATAATTTTACACGGAAATTGCACATTAAATGAAATTTAATTTTTATTGCAGTCTGACGACGCAATAAAAATGTTTATTTCACCTAATCAAATCCACAATGATCGTGAGCCACTGCGCGGAACCCTTCTGGGGACTGTCAAGTGCCGAAAAATCCTTTCAT